CCACCCTTATTCCCCCAGAAATTTCTCTTAAATTAGCTTCTACTATTACTAATAGAGACTTAAAGTTTTCGCATGCATCAAAATAGTTAATAAATTAGAGTAGCCAGTTGGAAGGTGAGATAGTCCATGTTAGTGAAATTTTTATGTCTTAAAAGCTTCATATTAGAAGTTGAGGAAAATATAACACTGATTTCTAACACCGATTCCTTTGTTGGCTGGTTGTATGTACAGGGACTGCTATAGCTACTCTTAGATGGAATAATGGGGGAATGTTTCACAAGGCACTTTAATTTTTTCCTATTTATTTTTCATAGAAGATTGAAAATCTATATGTATATGTCTAGTTTTATGGAACGTTTTCTTTTGGATCTGGGCCTCTGCCTTTTTTTTTTGGTGTTTAACTAGCCTGTATCACCTGGTTAATTTGGCATTCAAACACCAACTTCAAGTGCTTGATTCCTAGAAACCCAGAGGCTCTGAGAAATTCTGGGAAGCTTTCCAATAGCAAAGTTAAATTTCTAGTTCCTTTTAATTTAGTGAGGATTTATTGAGTATACTTGGTGTTTGTGATGCTGGATTCACAAACATGAATGAGAAGCTATTCTAGCTCTCAAGGAGCTCACCATCTATCAGAGGAGGCAGAGTCATCTGTACACAGCTCACTAGGCTGGGGGCTGCACTATGCTAAATGCCACGTTGCCAGTTCAGTTCAGTGGAGAATTAGGAAGATGGAGTTGGAGAGGGGAGCTGGGAAATAGCTCATTGAAGGGATTGTTGACATTTTTAATTTTTAATTTTTAGGTAGAATCCCAGTAATTGGCAGTGTGGAGAAAAGATTTGAGAAGGTTACCCTTGGTGGCAGGAAGATTGTTGCAACAGGCTTAGTGAGAAATAACTAGGGCCTTGACTAGACTATATTGCAGATGGATACAGGTGTGAGAAATATTTAGGAAGTGCATTTTGTGAGACTTTGTGATTGATTAGCTAAGTGTGGCTTGGTGGTTGGATGTTGACCTATGAACCAGGGGGTCATGGTTCAGTTTGGGTCAGTGTGTGTGCTGGGGTTGCAGGCTCAGTCCCCAGTGTAGGGGGTGACTGGTCAGTGATTCTCCCTTATCATTGATGTTTCAGTCTCTCTTCTTCTCACTTCCTCTCTGAAATCAATAAAAAATATATTGAAAAAAGAGAACTCCATAAAGTACAGAAAAGAGAACAGTTCTTCCTGGAAGTGGGTCAGGTGGCTTTTGTAGAGGTGGTAACATTTCAGCCAGCAGAGTAGAATGGGGAAGTGCATTTCATTCTGTGTCAGTAGCACGGACCAATGTGTGGAGGTGAGAGGGTTTTTGCAATGTTGATGAGTTTAGGAGTTTGGGAGACTGGTAGGAGAAGGTCGTTTGGAACTTTGTTGAGAAGAACTTTCATGTCATGCTCCTCTCTAGTTGGTGTGGAGCTGTTTTAAAATTGTGCAAATGGGTGAGAGATGTGAACATGTCTATGTTTTAATCTGTAACAGAGGAGGATAGATCGGAGGGGACATTGCGGGGACTTGTGAGGTGTTGGCAGTAGTACAGGTAAGAGGTAAGGGGCTGGTGTGTTTCTGAGACATTGGGAATAGAGGGATTGGGTTTCTGAGAAAATTTGAAAATAGAATTGTCAGGATATGTTTATTGGTGTGTGATACCAGAAAGTCAGAGGGAAAACTATTTTGAGATTTCTGGATTGGAAGATTAAGGGAAGGATGATGCCATGAACCGTGAGGGGAGACTTAGGAAGAGGAAGGAGGTTTGGGTTGTTGTAGGGCTAGGGAAGATGGTGATTTGTTATTGGGTATGTTGAGATTCTATTGCTTACTGTGTATGCGTCTCAATGTTACCTTATAATAATGATGGCGAACCTATAACACGCGTGTCAGAGGTGACATGCAAACTCATTGTTTTGGTTGATTTTTCTATCTTAAATGGCATTCAAATATATAAAAGAAATGTCAAAAATATAAATCTTTGTTTTACTATTGTTGCAAATATCAAAAAATTTCTATATGTGACATGGCATTAGAGTTAAGTTAGGGTTTTTCAAAATGCTGGCATGCCAAGCTCAAAAGGTTCGCCATCACTGCTGAGCTTACCTTGCTTAATATCGTGTACATTTTGAATCTCCGTGCTGGATTTAGAGGTCTCAGGATGGATTAGGGATATCTGCTATGGTCAAAGGCATGTGAGCTGATAGCATTTAACACTTGTATTTGCCAAAAATGTGATAGTTTTACAGAAATGCCCCAACTGTAAAGATTTGCCGTTGTGTTGTAGGTGTTAAACCGCCTGACGTTTGCATCTACTCTTTCTCACCTGCGTCGTTTAAATTCTCCAATCGGTAGAGATGGCAAGCTGGCAAAACCGAGGCAGTTGCATAACACGTTGTGGGGAATGGTGTGTCCTGCTGAGACTCCAGAGGTAATGGATTAAAATTTGTGTTCAGAACAAAGAGTCTGCCAATAGTTATGTAGGATGTAATTACTTTCAGAGTGAGTTTTTATGTAATCATGCAGTGTGGCTTAGAACTAAGATAATTTTGTTCTTCGAAAGTAGTAAATCCTGAAGTCAAATTGAAGGAAAAGTGTCTATGGATATAATTTTGGTAGTTACGCTAAAGCACTGTGACTAATACTTCGTTTGTCATTTTAAGGGCCATGCTGTAGGACTTGTGAAGAATTTAGCCCTGATGGCTTATATTTCAGTTGGATCTCAACCTTCTCCAATTCTGGAATTTTTAGAAGAATGGAGTATGGAAAATTTAGAAGAAATTTCTCCTGCAGCTATTGCTGAGTGTGTATAGGTGTAATTTTTTAAAAAGCTATTATTAATCTTTGGTTATAGCTTAATATAGAGTGACTAAATGCAAAATGCTTTTGGTTTTGTATTTCAGTGCAACCAAGATTTTTGTTAATGGCTGCTGGGTTGGAATACATAAAGATCCTGAACAACTTATGAACACTCTAAGGAAATTGCGGCGTCAGATGGACATCATTGTGTCTGAAGTAAGAGTCTTTAATTAAAAGGACAGGGTCTGTGGGATTTCTAAACAGGGCATAAGACTAGACAGAAATTATTTTTGTATTGGCGTCTTTCTTTAACTGCATTGTAAAGTACATTGTCAAAAGTGTAGGTAATGTTTTGATCTTAATTCAATAGGTAGTAGGTATTGCTTGCTCTCAGGCTTTAGATATATGCTGCTGGAGTCCGACCCCAGCGGGTCCAGGGGTTCCCAAAGGTGTAGACGGAGTCAGCGAAGAAGAAATGACACGAAGACAGCGTTCAGTTGATCAGCAGCCTAGCCAGGATCTCCAGCCAAGTTCTGGTCTGGATCTCCAGAGAAGTTCTGCCGTTTATTGTCTTGTTACATCCGTATTTATACCAGTTGATTTTAATCCTGTCAATTTCTATTACAAAGGTTAGGGCGTTTCTTATCTCCATTCCAGGGAGTAAAGATTATGTAGCTTAAGCATGATTGTTTGTAGTTAAAGTGATTAACTACCCGCCTGGCACTTAGTTAAGGAGTTTCATCCCCTCCCTGACTTCAGGGAAAAATCCCTACCTGGGGAAACAACCTTTCTTGGAGAGGTGACCTTGGTTAAAACACACAGTGCTAAGGGGAGCAAACATATTAAGAACAGTATGCTATATACGCCAGGTCCCTTGAAACATATGCTGTGCAGATGTTTCTTTCCTGCAGCGACTGTGTCAAGCAGCAAGGATGGACCGGCTTCCGGCAATATGCTTCTAAAAATTTGACGTGTAAATTTAAGTTATTAAATTATATTTTAGAACTCATCATATTTTAAAGTAAAAGGAATTTTTTGAGGATCTTTTTGTGAGGCCGACAATGCTTTTAAAAGGAATAATCACACCTGATTCTTTGAATCCAGAAATTCATTCATAAAGAGTGACACACCTCTAATAGATTCCCATATTTAGGTGGGTATTGAAATGCTTTGGGATAAGGATGGATTTTTAAAAAATCATTAAAATATAGTATGTGTACTTTATTACTCTCCCAAATAGGACTTTTGATTTTAGTGTACTGTATTAGGGATATGGCTCAGGCATTTGAATCTCCCAAATCTACCCTTGGGCTCTGTCTAGGTCCATGGTCTGCAGACCGCAGCTCGCGAGACACATGCGACTCTTTGGCCCCTTGAGTGTGGCCACGAAGTTTTAATCGCACTGTACGTGCGCGCCCGGACGTGGTATTTTGTGGAAGAGCCACAATCAAGGGGCCACAGTTTGCCGACCACTGGTCTAGGTGAAAGTGGATTTGAAGGGAAACTATAATACACTTAAGGCAATAGCTGGCCATCTTTCTACCTAGCAAAGCAGAGAAGAGACTTTGGTTGCTCCAGACTTTCCTCTAGAAGGCAGACACCCTAGGTCAGTCAGTGATGGCTTACCTTTTGAGCTCGGCGTGCCAGCATTTTGAAAAACCCTAATTTAACTCTGATGCCATGTCATAGAAATTTTTTGATATTTGCAACCATAGTAAAACAAAAACTTATATTTTTGATATTTATTTTATATATTTAAATGCCATTTAACAAAGAAAAATCAACCCAAAAAATGAGATCACGTGTCCCCTCTGACACGCGTGTCATAGGTTCGCCATCACTGCTCTAGGTTTTGACCCAGGCATTTCACAGCTTGAAGACAGGAAGAGAATGTTTCATTTGAGGGCAGGCAGGGCTAAGAGAAAGCCTTGGAACCAAAATTGGCTGTATTTTTATGATTTAGAACTTTATTAATGCCATGTTTTTCTGCTGAGGGCCTCCTTTAGCTTTTCTGTATTCTCTGAAATTCTTCATGCTGTTTTAGGCCTTTTTACTTTCAGTGGGCCTACTCCTTCAACTTAGAGTATTTCTGCTCCCTTTCTCCCAATGGCTTCTCAAAAACAGTCTTGAAGAGAGGAGGGTTGCTTATTATTTTTTCAGGTAAACCTTACTTATTCTGTAAAACATATATTAACACTCATCTCTTTCAGGATACCTTACCTGACCTCCCAGTTTGACTTAGATCAAGAAAGACATCCTATCTAATAAAGGAGAAATATGGTAATTAGCCATACATCCGCTACCCTTCCCATTGGCTAATCAGGGCGATATGCAAATTAACTGCCAGCCAAGATGGCGGCCGGCAGCCAGGCAGCTTGAAGCGAATATGAGGCTTGTTTGCTTCAGTGACGGAGGACTCCAACGTTCCCCGCCTGACTTGCCAGCCTCTCAGTGCAACTCTAAGTAACTATGTTGCAAATATGTCTGTTACTTTTTCTTTTCCTTCATATTTTCTGATAACCAGAAGTTCTCATTTTACCCCTTTGTAACTTGAATCATCTAATGGGCTTGTTGGGCTTTCCTGTCAGTAGTCCTCTGTATACTACTAAAGAACACCTGTTTCCTTTGGAATGTAAGATACTGTTTGGTCTTTGGGAGGACACGCTCAATTTATGTCCTCCTGGTAAGTTAATAGAGCTATATTCTACTAGGAATTCTCTAAGGATTCAAGGCAGTGCATTGAAAGCAAGGTTTTTTCTGGGACTTGAGAATGCCACTCATGATGTTTTGCTCATAGACACAATGTTTCTCCTCAGATTGTTTTCTAAGGACAGGAAGTGGGCTAAGAGCTTGGAACATTTTCTGTTTATTGGCTTTGACTCTAGTTTTGAGGAACTTGATGTTTTTGATAAAGCTTATATTATTTTTACTATTGTTTTTAAACTGAGTAATCCAGATCTTTTCCTTTCTTAAATAGACCCAATCTTTTCTTTAAATAAAGTATCCAGATGTGATTTCACTCTTTAAAAGTACTTTTGTGGAGAAATAGCAATCTATTTTTCTATTTTTCAACTCATTGGCAATTTATTTCATAGTTGACTTACAAGATTATATATTAGATTTAGGCAATTCACTAAAATCTTTTGACTTATTTTTTAATATATGTATGTGTACTTCAAGTTCTGCAGTGCTTTTAATAATAATTATGTTCTTTATTGAAAATTTCTGATATTGTCTAGGAATATATTTTTAGCACTATCCAGGAGAAATATGTGAGCGACATATTCATTTAAAATTTTTTTAGTTGCCATATTATAAAAGTAAAAAAGAAGTGAAAATAATTTAAATAGTATATTATTTGACCCGATACATCTAAAACATTAAAATTTCAACATATATTCAAAATGAATATTATTAATGGAAGTTTTTACATTTTTTTCTGGTACTACCTCTGAAATCTGGTGTGTAGTTTAGTCTTACAGCATATCTCATTTCTCATTGGTCACATTTCAGGAGCTCAGTAGTGACATGTGGCTAGCAATTGACTATTGCATTGGATGGCTAGACTGTAAGCCATTTGTCTAATAGGTGACTGGGAGGAGTCTAGCTTATTCCTGGGAAAGTATTGTCAAGGCAAAGTGATATGAGGCTGGTTATTGAAAGGTTACAGAGTGAAGTATACGTGATTATCAGAGGCAAAATAAAAACTTGTCATTTACAGTTTTTTATTTTACTTTATCTTGCATGACATTATTACCAGATGTTGTTCAGGTCTGTAATTACCAAGGTTAGATATTTATCCTTTATGAAATTTTACATTATACGTAGACTTTTAATGTATTAAGCAATGATAATCTATTAAGATTTGTCCATTTTATTTGACAAGGGGTTACTACAGGAATTCATTAGGAGCTTTATTGTATTTATAGCTAAGCCTTAATGATAGAGAAAATAACAGTCTATGCGACTTTGTTTTTTTACATCTAGGTTTCTATGATCAGAGATATTCGAGAGAGGGAGATTCGGATCTATACAGATGCAGGTCGTATTTGTAGACCACTTCTGATTGTGGAAAAACAAAAGCTTCTGTTGAAGAAGAGACATATTGATCAATTGAAAGAGAGAGAATATAACAACTACAGGTAAGTACACGCAGTGAAAAAAAAGTTGATATATAATTCACATACCATAAAATTAATGATTTTCAAGTATATAGTTCAGTGGTTTTTAGTATATTCACAAGATTGTGCAACCATCACCACTATCTAATTCCAGAATATTTTCATTGATCCAAAAAGAAACTATTCATTATCAATGATATTTAATAATAAAAATATATTACTTGCCTTTTATTTAATAATAAAAAAAAAAATTTTTTTTTCAGAGAGGAAGGGAGAGGGAGAGAGAGATAGAAACATCAGTAATGAGAGTGAATCATTGATTGGCTGCTTCCTGCGTGCCCCACACTGGGGATTGAGCCGAAACCCGGGCATGTACCCTGACCAGGAATTGAATCCGACCTCCTAGTTCATAGACCAACACTCAACTACTGAGCCAAGCCAGCTGGGCGAGTGATATATTTTTATTATAAAAAAATTCAAACAATATGTGCAATAAAAGCCCCACTTGATACTCTCCTGTACTTGTTAACAATTGGGTGTATATTCCTCCAGACCTTAATCAATGCATTTATATACTAAATCCCTAACCCCCACATATAATTTCTTTAGAACAAACCACAACAAACTTAAAATATGAAACCACAGCCTGTTCAATGCTTTTGGAATACTCATTATTAGGTAGAATGCCTAGTTAGTTAAAAGAGTTCAGAAATTAAGGAAATTAAGAGAATTCTTTTTTAGTTGGCAGGATCTTGTGGCCAGTGGGGTAGTGGAATATATTGATACTCTAGAAGAAGAAACAGTGATGCTGGCAATGACTCCAGATGATTTACAAGAGAAAGAAGTAGCTTATTGTTCCACATATACACACTGTGAGATTCACCCATCAATGATTCTTGGTGTCTGTGCATCTATTATTCCATTTCCTGATCATAACCAGGTTGGTAGCCATTTTTAACTTCTTATTTGTGAGGAATTGGGGGAAGTAGAATAAAAGTTAGAGATTAGTCTGTAGTTTTTAAAGAAAAGCCTTTTAATGAACGGCTGTGAACTCCTATAGAATTAGCACTTAATATGCTTATTGTTGTGTTTCACTATTAGAAGCCATAATTAACTATTCCAAAGGGTCATCACTTATCTTTCAGAAACCCCCCCCAATAACTTTACCAATCCTTCTGATTTATGTCATTTATTACATTTTTATTGATTCTGTTGTCATTTCTACCTTTAGTCCCCTAGAAACACATACCAGTCTGCTATGGGTAAGCAGGCCATGGGAGTTTATATCACCAACTTTCATGTCCGTATGGATACATTGGCCCATGTTCTCTATTATCCTCAAAAACCGCTTGTGACTACACGGTCTATGGAATATCTGCGATTTAGAGAGCTGCCAGCAGGTATGTTTGGTTTTGTTCTACATTTTTTAAGTTCCTTTCATGCTTAAGGCACTTTTCTGGGTGCTTGGGAAGGTTAATAAAATACACATGACACAGTCTCTTTTTCCATGGAATTTATAATGTGGTGGGAAACATGAACACAATTCAATAAAAATGTAGACATGTCAGAAGTGTTATG